AAGTACCGGATGTTCTACAGCTGTACCATAATGATTATTCAGGAGGCCATCTGGGAGTTAAACGAACTCTACTGAAGATCCGAGAACGGTTTTACTGGGTCCACTGTCGAAACGATGTCGAGGACTGGTGTCGCAAATGTACAAGTTGTGCGGCTGTAAAGGGACCTCAGACTCGTAGTAGAGGTGCATTGAAGTTGTACAATGTTGGTGCACCATGGGAGAGAATAGCCATTGACGTGGCGGGGCCGTTTCCGGAGAGTGAAAGCGGTAACAAGTATTTCATGGTTGTGATGGATTACTTCATTAAGTGGCCAGAAGTCTTCGCCATTCCAAATCAAGAAGCTTCAACAGTTGCAGATAAACTAGTTCATGAAGTCTTCTGTCGTTTTGGAGTACCTTTAGAGATTCACAGCGATCAAGGAAGGAATTTTGAATCTCAAATATTCCAGGAAACTTGCCGAGTTATGGGTACTCATAAAACAAGAACGACTTCTTATCACCCGCAATCTGATGGAATGGTAGAAAGATTTAATCAGACATTGGAGAGGTACCTAGCAAAAGTTGTAGACAATCGGCAACGAGATTGGGACAAGCACATACAACCGTTTTTGTTGTCATATCGAAGCGCTGTTCACGAAAGTACAGCAGTGACACCAGCTTTCGCAAACTTTGGAAGAGAATTACGGCTGCCTGCAGACCTGATCACCGGGATACCACCTGATGCTCCACGTAGTATAACCGATTATGCAAATGACTTGCGGAACAAAATGAATGACGTTTATGAGCACGTCAGACAATCGGGCCAGCAAATGTCTGAAAAGATGAAAACCCGGTACGACCGCAAAATGAACAACAAAGGGTTCGACGAAGGTTCAAAACTTGTGTGGTTGCATAATCCCGTCCGCAGCAAAGGGAAATCTCCTAAGCTTCAAGCTAAATGGGACGGCCCGTACCGGATTGTGACCAGGATCAACGATGTAACCTACCGGATACAGAAAGGCGCAAGAGGGACTCCTAAGATCGTCCATGTGGATCGCCTGGCGCGTTATTATGGGGCCGATAATGCTCGGGACGAGCATGTCTTAGGAGGGGCAGTGTTACGCGCTCAAGTCGACGGCACTAGCGCCATCTAGTCTCGAACCGAAGAACTAAACTTCTTGAAGTTGAAACACGAACTCTCGGTACCTTGCGCGTGTTTACTGGAATATTCTGGATATTTCGCTGCTAATTTATATAAATAGGCGCTGCAAGATGCGATCGAGGAAGTATTGAAGTTGGCGAAACAAGCGAAGCTTCGGAGCGGAATAAAGTGAATCAGTGTGATTAATTATTAGTGTTTTTAACTTTAATTAGTGTAAAGTGAATTAAAGTGTTAATTTAGGTAATTCTATCGGCAATTTTTATTGTCACGAACCTCAAGCTCGTAACAATATTATCAAATAACAAACAACTTGCCGAAAACTGAAATCAATGTTCGTGAAACGTCACACTTTAAAAAACCGTAAAAACCATTGCCTTATCCTGATGCAATATGTGTCTCCAATCTAAAGAGATAAATCGTGTTGCGCAGATCCTTAATGAATTGGAATTAGGACAGGGAGAAGAAGAAGACATATATCAATATTTCCAAACAAATCACGTCGTGAGCAAAAATTAGTTAAAATTAATTACATAAATCATAGCAAACCTGAAATGCGTTGCGTATTAGCTTAACCATGTGAAATGGATCTAAAAGTGCCATAATTGGATATTTTGTGACCGGATCTTAAAATTTCATTTTTCCCTCTTCAAAGTTACATCCCAGGTATTTCAACATAGCTATGTTAGAGGCACAGTCATCAAAAGTTAGAAAAACAATTTTTACTCCAGTTTCATGCATTTTTTCCAGACATTGTTTTACTAGTTCAGCTCGTTGAACTCCAGTCATTCCGTCAATCAAAAAATAACCCATAGGCACTTTAAAATTACAGTTAATGCCAGTCACTAAAAAAACTAATGCCTCCTTTGCTTCCGTTATATGGTCACCTTCTATTCCGCTACCGATCTCAACATGCCCGTGCAGTTTTACTCCGTCCCATTCTATATGACGTCTTATTGCTATTTCATCTATCATTAAACCAGCTATGATTGGATATTTTATTGAATTTGACTTTGCCTTGCTTAAAACGACACTATAAGAATTTTGATAACATTTTACAGATTTTGACTTAAACACCGTAAATTTGAGAAGTTTTTTTACTTACCGATGAAAAGAAATTCCTCCTTTGGCTACACTCGACACTTCACTCCTTGCTTTACAACTAATAACAGCACAAGTAGGCATTTTTCGTCAAAATTAGTGGCCGCGTTTCACTTGCGCACGGTGAGAGCGTTCGTGAGTGACTTATGAGCGCGATCATATGTCTCGGGATTTATATGACCGTTCGGGCAAATCAGTGGCATGCGTGCTCCGCCCACAATGCCATTCTATGTTTTTCTGTTTTCTATGGGGCCACAGCAACCACTTATCATCAGGTTGACTGTGTGCTCGTTTGTCACCCTATCCTATAAAAAAAATCATACCCCGATACGTATAATGCAGAGGCTTATTTTATTTATATACGATTTTGTTCTCTATTCCCTTGTAGGTAAGTACTAAGTAATTCGAATTATCTAAATGGCTAAGTTGCTTGAATCATACTGAATCTAGGTAGGCAGGTAATGTTCTTTATAATTAACTACAGACATACGTGACAATAAAATGCTATTAAAATATTTACAATGATATTATTTACCTTGACTTATTCGCCTCCGTCATGCTAAGAATATTTTTTTTAAATTGCTCGTTCCTTTTTCTCCTATATACTTTTTTCTTAGTGTTTCCCATTACCACAAATAAATTATTTAAGTACCTACTTATACTAATAGTAATTTCCTATTATAATAATAAACCTATTCTACAACTATAGCTATTTATAATAATAAAGATATATCTATAAGAATAGAGAGTACAAGCGAACGACATGCGTAGGTCCTACGTTGTGGCGGCCTCTCGCGGGACTGGCCCGCGTGAGTATATAATTTCTATAAAGCATGATCCACACCTTCTGATCCTATCCGATCCGATTCTAATTATCGGATGAAATCGGATAATGTATTGTGCAACAGGTCCTAATTTTATTATTATTATTACAAAATCGGAGAATCGGATGTTCCGACCGTCCTTTTTATAAAATCGGATCCTAAATCGGACGGTGTATAGAACCATTCGTCCGATAAAACGTTACAGTCACACACGACCAGCGCGCATTGAAATGTCATCGGACAGGGAAAGTGATTCGGTGTCAGACCGCGAATATTTTGTTTTATTTTTGGAGTGTTACAAAGAATGTAGATGCTTATGGGACACTTCGGCAGCAGATTACATAAATAGAGACTTGAGAACTAAGTCCTATGAAAGACTTTTAAAAGTTTTCAAACATGTTTGCAAAAATGCAACATTAGGTGATATGAAAAAAATTGATAATATAAAAACAACAAACAAATGTGAATCAAAAAAGGTGAGTATTTTTTTCAAACTGGCGAGGCTAATGTTTGGGTACTCTTCATGCGTAATGTCTACTAAAAATAAAAAATACAAAGTCCGGTACTCACGTCATTCAATTATTTGTTTTAGGTTAGAGATTCCATGAAAACTGGCTCGGGAGTTCAAGATATTTACTGTCCAAATCTTTGGTACTACGAATACCTTACATTTCTTGATGAAAAAGATCTTTCACAAAGAACTGGTCAGGATAGCTTGGATGATGGTGCTGGCAGTAGTGGAAGTGTAAGTTCATTTTGAAAATAACATACAGTTTTTTTAGAGAATTTTTTTTATTGGGGTACAACCGACAACGTTTGCTCTTGAAATGAAACTACGCCTTCATTCTTAAAATAATTTGTAAATGATTGTCGCACTTTCAGTGCCTTGCTCATTGCGCTGATTTTTAAGTGGACGAAGCGATACTAAAGGATGTGTTTCAAGCTATTCTACGTTTCTTACGGTTGTCTTTTTACGCCATTGTGCTACTTTAAATGACGCTTCAGATTCATTTTCAATATCGAGAGATGTTATATTAATGTATTTTTTATTATTTCTTGATAAATAATTATGTAATGCACAACTAGCTAAGACAATTGTGTTCACGTTATCTATATCTATGGAAATAGCACGCCGAAATATTCTAAAACTAGAGGATAGAATTCCGAATGCATTTTCCACCACCCTTATAGGTCTTGAGAGTCTGTAATTAAATATTCGCTTATCGTGAGCTATGTTCTTTAGAGGAAATGGTTTCATAATGTTTTAATAAATGCACTGTCTCCTACAAAAACGTAAGGTGCAGTGATTTTTGAATTTGTTAACGTTGACGGACTTGGTAAATTTAACCCATCTTCCATCAACTTCTCATAGAATTTAGTCTTTTGCAGCACGGAACTATCTGAAACACATCCGTTTGCACCCACGTGAATGTATATAAATTCGTAAGTAGCGTTTACTACTGCTAACAGAATAACACTAAAAAATTTCTTATTATTATAAAAAAGTGATCCACTGTCTGGCGGCTTTTTAATTGCAATATGTTTTCCGTCGATTGCGCCTATGCAATGATTGAAATTCCATTTGCTTTCAAAGTCCAAGCTCACTTCTATCCATTCCTCTATCGTCGATGGCAACTGAAATTAATTTCATTTTATTTTATTTGCAGATTACTGGGAATGAAACACAAAACGATGGTTTCGCAGTTCCACCAACTAAAATAAAGAAAAAAAACACAGGACCTCTATACGAAGCAGTCTCAAATTTTAGATCAGGCTCAAAAAATATTAACAAGTAGTGAAGATAATGACTGAGAAGTAATCGGAAAATCAATTGGACTTCAACTCAAAGTTCTAACTGAAGAACAATCAGCCACTGCGCAAAAAATAATATCAGATGCTCTCTTCTATGCCAAAATGAAAAAACTAACAATAAATTGTCAAATAACTTTGGAACCCACATATCTACCTTCTCCATCTCCACAACCGCACCAGTCATCATCACATCGGTACACAATTACTCCATCACCTTCTCCATCTCCACAACCGCACCAATCATTATCCCATTGGTACACAATCATTCCATCATCCTCTCGTTCTTCACAGGCGCACCATCCATCTTCCACAATTCAATCATACACTTCTTCATATTAAACATCGACATTTACTAGTAGTGATTCAGACCATATTTCCTCAAATTCATTGCCATTGTTTAATACAACAGAAACAGGTATTAACGAAGAATGCACATATTTTTTGGAACCTCCAGTAATTAGCATTCCATCACCGCCCCATTCCTCAACATCTAATTACATGCAGGGATTTTTAAAAGACTTTATTATTTTCACTAAAAAATAAGTACTGCAATTATTCTAAGCACAATGAATATCGGTAGGTAATAATTATGATTAATAAAAAAGTAACAATAATAAATAAATATACCAATAATTACCTAAAAAGAAATTTCATTTCATACCTTTATATAGTCCTTTAAGCATGTATACAACATGTCCCAAAATTCAACGATAAGCCAACACCGGAGGATAGATCTGCCCCGGACTAATCGGGGAAAAAAGGAAAAAATATATATCCCAATTATATTTTAAGTAATATAAAAAAAAATGAAATTCTTCAGAAATTCAGACCGTTTATGATATTTTTCACTACCATGACCGCAATTTTTTTTAATTATTTTTTCTTTTTTTTTACAGGCAACCTGAATAGTACTGCTATCTACCACAATTCTTAAAAACTCCAGAAAAACTCTTGTTTTATCACGAAAATTAATGAAACTTATTTTATTCCCTAAATTTTTTGAAGACTTTTACTTTTAACCAAATTTAACTTATCGTGGTGTAAAAAAAAGTATGAACACTAGTATGACAAGTTTTTTTAAAAATTGACGCAACTAACCAACATTCCAAAATGGTATAATACTCTAGGAAAACAAGTTATAAAGAAATATGGGCCTATTATTTCTAAACAGGGGCCAAATGACGGTCGGGTGTAATAAAAGTATTAGTTCTTGAAAAATGTTTAATATTTCAAAACAAATGGTACAAACAGTTTAACGTGTAATTTATTAAGTTATTAACATTATAGCAAAAGTTCGAACTGTTTGCCACCAGCATTAATACATGCACGACATCGCCTTAAAAATGATCGTTTTATTTGTCTTGCATATCTTCTGCTATTAATATAAAAGTTTAAAGTTAATATGGAAGTTTGTTCCTCAAATAATTAATTTTACTATCAAACATGAATAATTGAATGTATAAATTTTGAAGCATCGTTAAACTATGTTCTGCAATACTAATTTTAAACTTCCATGTTGACAAAATATTATGTATGACATGCAAAGCAATTTTATGGAAAGTTTGTTATTTCTTATTAACGATTTGATTCAAATTATAATAAAAAGCTTATAAATTAAGGCTTTTTTAAATATCAAAATGTACACCAGTTTATAAATATTAAACTTTCTCAGACTACAACTGGGAAAAAACATGAGTTTATGTTGTAATAACAAATATATAGTGATGTAAAGATCTTTTCCAGTACTAATGATAATATATATTGCACCAACATACTATATTGTAAAATATGTTTAATAATGATTTCTTATATTTACGCGAACACTATACATTGATTAAAACTACTTTTACGGATTTTATTGCGTTTTATTTATATTAATTTTAATACCCGACGTTTCGGGTGCTTTCCAGCTCCCATCCCCAGTCCCCCGTGACCATGGGTGCTGGAAAGCATCCGAAACGTCGGGATAAGGATATAGAACGACGAGTGAACGCAGGAAACAGAGTAAATGGAGCCCTGCACTCTATTGTGAAGAGTCAAAATGTGTCAAAAAAAGGCACGTATGGCAATTCATAATGCTGTGTTAGTCCCTACTTTAACGTATGGTAGTGAAAGTTGGGTATGGCAGAAGAAGCACGAGAGTTGAATAAATGCAGTAGAAATGCGGTCGTTAAGGAGTATGTTAGGGCTGAATCTGAATGACAGGGTGAAAAATTGTGTGATAAGAGAAGAGTGTGGTTTGCAAGATGATGTTGTGACCAGGATTAAGAAAGGAATGCTTCGGTGGTTTGGTCATGTGGAAAGAATGGATGAGGAAAGAGTGACAAAGAAAATTTATGTTGCAGAAGTGAATGGCAGAGTCGGAAAGGGACGTCCTAGGCGAAAATTTATCGACCAAATTGGCGATTTATTGAAAACGGGCCAAATTAGGAGTACCCTTAACCGACGAGCATGCATGCGTAGGTGTATGGATGTGAAGGAGGCGAGAGAGGTGTGTCAGGATCGTGCCAAATGGAAGTCTGTAGTCTCTGCCTACCCCTCTGGGTGACAGGCGTGAGTGTTTATGTTATGTAATTTTATTTAGAAAAAGTCCCACTGGGTTTTGTGCTGGTTCTAGTAAAGGTTTAGTATCAAGTTGCTTTAATAGTTGGTTGTGGGACGGAGGAAAGGGAGGTGGAGAGGGGTAGATTCGCCCCTCACCTGTCCTCCCACCGGAGATGCATAGTATTTTTATATTAAATGTTAAAGATAAAAATTTTATTAAATAATTTATAAGAAAAATCACCTTAATAGGTAGTCGGGGAGGGGGCGTGACCCCTCTTCACCGAAGTAATACCAAAGTTTAGTTGATGGAGCCCCCGTTATTTCTGGGTGGTTTATGAAAAAATAACTACAAATCCTTCTAACCAAACTTCTTCTTCTAAATCAGAGTTGGTGTGCTCTAAGTCCCGAGCTTGCTTTGCTCGCTCTTGTACCAAATAAAACACCAAAATTTTAACTTTAATAAGTAAACATATTTTATCACTCTTGCCATGATATTTCATCATGTTTCGCCTGCACAAATTACTCCACTATTGCATTACAAAAATATACAATATCTTGAAAACGGTTAAGTTTGGTGTATGGTGTTTCATAGTCGAAACAGTCGGTAATGATGCAAACTACAACCCCCTAAATGATCTAGGTCGACTTAACCTGTAACCCTATCATATTATATATTTCAATATTTATCTATGTTCCAAATTATCATTCAAAATGCAATCAATTTGCTACAAATAAATTTATTTTTACTAAACTATAGTACAAATTTCGACGACTTCCAGCCTCCCGAACAAGCCGGTTTCCGAAAAGGCTTCAGTACCATAGACCACATACATACCCTGCGGCAGATTGTACAGAAGTCCGAAGAGTACAATCTGCCACTTTGCCTGGCGTATGTGGACTATGAGAAAGCCTTTGATTCCGTCGAAATTTGGGCGGTGCTGCAGTCCCTTCAGCGGTGCCAAGTTGACTGTCGGTATATCGAAGTGCTGAAGTGTTTGTACAGTAGGGCTACGATGGCTATCCGAGTACAGAACCAGAGCTCGAAACCTATCCAACTGCAGAGAGGTGTAAGACAGGGTGACGTTATATCCCCGAAACTCTTCACCGCTGCTTTGGAAGACGTTTTCAAGCTACTGGACTGGAAAGGATACGGTATTAACATCAATGGCGAGTACATCACTCACCTTCGATTTGCCGACGATATAGTCCTTATGGCAGAATCGCTGGAGGACTTAAGCACTATGCTCAATGACCTCAATAGTGCCTCCCAACGGATAGGTCTTAAGATGAACATGGACAAAACAAAGATCATGTTTAATGTCCATGTCACACCTATGCCGGTAGTTGTTGGGAGCACTATGCTCGAAGTTGTTGACGAGTACGTTTAGCTGGGACAAATAGTCCGACTAGGTAAGTCCAACTTCGACCGAGAGGTCAATCGACGGATTCAACTCGGCTGGGCAGCGTTCGGGAAATTACGACACATCTTCTCGTCAAGTATACCTCAATCTCTGAAAACTAAAGTGTACAACCAGTGCGTGTTGCCAGTGATGACTTACGGATCAGAGACGTGGTCCTTCACCGCTGGCCGTATGAGGACGCTCAAGGTCGCTCAGCGAGCTATGGAGAGGGCTATGCTCGGAGTTTCTCTGCGTGATAGACTCAGAAATGAGGATATCCGCAGTAAAACCAGAGTGACCGACATAGCCCAACGGATTAGTAAGCTGAAGTGGCAATGGGCCGGCCATATAGCTCGAAGAACCGATAACCGATGGGGAAGAAAGGTTCTCGAGTGGCAGTCTCGTACCGGTAGGCGTAGTGTAGGGCGACCCCCCACTAGATGGAGTGACGACCTGGTAAGATATGCAGGAAGTCGATGGATGCAGGTGGCTCAGGACCGTGCTTTGTGGCATTACTTGGGGGAGGCCTATGTTCAGCAGTGGACTTGTGAAGGGCTGTAATGATGATGATGATGATGATATAAATATAATTTTTTGTCATTTTAATTTCCGGCTTGAAGGTGACTAAGCCCAAAAGGACTCAAATTAGTACAAGAATTACAATGTTAAAAAATAAACTTAAAAGTGAAAAGACTCAAGAAGAAAATGAATCTATCAGAAAATAGTACTTTCTTGAAAGCATTTAAAAGTTTTACCTCAATGACAATTTTTACGATGCTACAATTTTGAGATTGTGGTAAACACAAAATGGACAGACAATTCACACCTGATGAAAAAGTGATGGCATTACATTTTTTTAACATGGGCCAAGAGCCGACAGGATGTTGCAAAAGATATTTGTTCTGCCATCACCTTTCACCTTAATCAGGATGGTATCTAAGGCCAATATTAAGCCTGGTATAAATGAAAACATATTTTACCAGCTTAAGAAGCAAGCATCTAAAATGAAAGCCAATGATAAATTGTGTACACTGGTTTTTGATGAAATGGCTTATTGGTTATGACAGGAAAAATGACAGGATTACTGGTTTAGTTGACAATGGTGATGTAGTGAGGACTGAAATTAGAATAGAGATTTAGTTATTCTAAACACACTTACGCTGACAGCTCCAGTCAGAAGTAGACGTATCGTGTGTTGTTCTAGCTAATTATAAAATTTTAAAATTTAATTTTAACGTGATTTATATTTGGCATCTAATTTAGTGGTGCATAAAGTTTAATCTAGCTTGACACTTAATTCCTATTATAACCGCGTAATACAACGTTGCGAAGCGACGTGCAGCCAGTGCTGCCCTTCGCCACACCTCCTCGAGTAAAGGAGACAACCAGCGATTTTTCTTCCTGCGCACACGCATATTTTTTACGTACACAGTGCTAATACTCGTTGACCATCTTAACATGAGCGTGAAGCGGTCACCACCCGGTTCTAGAGCGGGCTCACCTTTTAGTGGTGAATCTTTGAGCGGCTCAAACACCGATCTACCTACTAACGATTATCATAAAATAACACATAGAAGACGTAAACAAATAGATGCAGATTTCGTGTCGTCTTCTCAGCTGACAGAATTCAAAACTGAAATAATGGAATTTTTCAATAATTTTGGGAACTCACAGAGGAAAGAATTTAAAAGTTTGAAAGATGTCATAAATTAAAGGAGTAAAAGACGACGTCACGATTATTAGGGAACAGCTGGAATCTATAAAAATCAGTACTGTGAAAATCACTCGCGAGCATAGTGAAATGATGAATGATATTTCCGAATTGAAAAACTCGTTAAATTATCATTCAGCTGAACAAACCACTCTCACAACACGTATTGATGATGTGGTATCGGAGATCAAAAAGGTTGATCTGTTGCAGCAAATAATAATAATAATAATACTTTATTTTCAGACTTTGTCCATAAAGATGTTAGTAGAACAATAAGTACTTAAAAACTAATGTTAGTATTTAACTTTTTTTTTTTTTTTTTTTTTTTTTTTACACTTAACAAATTAAATATCCTTCTACGTTACAAATATCTTATTTATTCAATTTTATATGTAGGCTCAACCAGTGTTTCATAATGGCAGAATCCCACCTATCAGCAAGTGTATTCAGGATGCTGTTGGTAGAGGTACGTAGTCGATTCATTAATGAAGCGGACCTTTTACGTATTATGGCATGAAAGCCATCCGTGTGTGCCTCGACGAACATGGCAGAGGCACTACAATAACGCGGCAATCCTAACAGCACCCTGAACGCATTATTGTATTGTACACGCAGGACATTGTATGTCCGCTGCTTGTATCTGACCCACAAGTTGCCTGTGTAAAAGCACTGACAATAAGCTTTAAAAAGCGTAACTTTAACTTCTTTAGTACATCGTGCAAACCTGCGGGCCAGCATATTACAGCGAACAGCCAACGCCCTGCGTTCCCTTTCTATATCCAAGTCATCCTCTAAGTCCTCTGTTACCCAGTGGCCTAAGTACTTAAATTTGACGACTCTGTTCAAAGGACTATCACAGAGTTTAACAGTAGGCATGGTGAGCTGCCTTTTAGTGCCTGAATTAAAAACCATGAGCTCGCTCTTCGTTACATTATACTTGAGCCCATGGGTCTTTGCGTAGGATTCACAGATCCCTAGCAGCCTTCTGAGTGCACCTATCGTGGGGCTCAGCAGTACCATGTCATCTGCATAGCTTATGTTATTTATGCAAACTCCGTCTATAGAACAACCGACCTTAGTGCTGCTGAGCTCCACAATCAACTGGTTTATGTATAAGCTGAAAAGCGTAGGCGAACTCAACCCTCCTTGTCTCACCCCGCATTCCAGCCCATACCCCTCAGAAAAGCTGCTACCCCATCGCACATAGTTTATTTGGTTACTATACCAATATTTAAATACGGAGACAATTTCCTGGGGCAAGTCAGTCTCCTCCTGTAACTTTCGCCATAAAATGTCATAAGAGACTAGATCAAAAGCTTTTGATAGATCCAAAAAACAGGCATACACCGGCGTTTTCCTATCTGTGTAGTACCGAACAGTCTGCTTAAGACATAAAATTGCACTCTCTGTGGATAGTCCAGGTCTGAACCCAAATTGAGCATCATGCAGATGAATGTGTTTTCTCAATTTCCTGTCAAGCAGACCGTCCAGCACCTTAGCCACTATGGTGGCTAGTGAGATTGGCCTGTAATTATTTAAATCTGATATATCTCCTGTTCTGTTCTTAATGATAGGCACCACAATTGTCTTCATGAGATCAGTCGGAAGATATTGATGAGCTATACATAAACTTAGAAACATAGCCAACACTCTTGGCAGATGGGCACCAGCATGTACCAGATGTTCAATGCTAAGCCCATCATGCCCTGGTGACTTACCTCTAGTCATAGAATTAATTACTTCAAAAACTTCTTTGGCAGAGATCCTTACACACGATCTACCTGCAAAACGTCCACCATCGATTAAACTCGATGACGGACCCCGCGGTGACTCTACTTTAAAATGCTCTTTAAATAGATTGGCTATGTCTCCAGGCTGGTTGTGACCCTGAATATTAGCGGGAAGGCTCGACTTGGGATTCAGTTTATTCGTAAGATTCCAGAATTCTTTAAATTTCTTTTGCGAATGACTTGATGCGATCTTATCCATTCTTAATTGCTCTGCGTGATTTTGACACCATTTTAACTTTGACTTGAAATTCCGTCTTGTTTCACACATTTTATTATAATAATAACCCGAAGATGGCTTACCGTATAAGACCCACGTTTGAAAGGCAAGTCGAGCCTCCCCGTGGGCGTCTCTAACGTATTTATTCCACCCCACAACATATTTCTTATTCCTTTTGTTATTACAACTTGCCTGAGCTGATTCTCTAAGAATAGTAACAATATTACCGTACATGTTATCTAAAATTAATTTGTGATTATCATTAATACATATATTATTACAACAATTCATAAACTCCTGTGGAAAATTTACGTCTTTTAATTTAGAGTGACACAATTTTTTTATAAGTTTCTATTTGATTATTATTTCTGACACCCCAAATTATTTTATTATTACAGAAATAGCTTACCATATTTTTTGATCTCAATAAGTTAATATTGCACTCGATCAGCAATGGAACATGATCCGACCAGTAGGTATCATACAGCACAGTGACATCTATGACTGAGCGCCTTGCGGCCTCAGTTACAACGCAATGATCCAACCAGCGCCGACAACCGTGCGCATCACTAGTGTAAGTATAGCTGCCCGCTGGGAGGACCTCCAAATCAACACAAATCAACTTCTGATCCGTGCAAAAATTTATCATTTCGTTACAAAATAATGTACCGGGATGAGAATTAAAGTCACCTAACGCAAATACAGAGTCGACATTTTCATTTTCAATAATAGCACTTATCTCGCTCATGCACGATGTAAATTCTATTAAATTGTCTACTGAATCCGTTGGCATATAAACCGAGAATATTATGAAAGTTCGTTCACTATGGAACACTTTAATTGCTGTGAGACGCACACTACTACATTCGACCACACTGACACAATCAAACGCATTTTTCCTCCACAAGAGGGCCACACCACCATAGGGTCTGCCTGTGAGTATACCGGACGACGTATCAACCGCTGACTTACCGGTATAGCTGAAGTCTTGATGTATCTCGCCCAGAAACGTTATGTCATCAGGTAGAAGCCATGTCTCCTGTAGCGCTAGCACGTCAGACTTTTCACACAGGTGTCTTACGCATTCCAAAGAGCGTTTAACAGATTTGCAGTTAAAAGTAGTAAATTTTGCCGTACTATACATGAACGATTTTTTTTTTTTTTTTACACATTATCTGAGGTCTCCTGATGTCTGTACTTAAAATGCACAAATCTTCTGAATGAGATGCCGTCCGGCCAAAGACTGTCATTTAAAAAGACAGCAAGTTTTTGTTTGGACACGTATAATTTGAACGCATTATATCCTTTATCTTTTTTTCATAGTCACTTTTTCTAGTGTCACTAACTCGTTAGTTTTATTCCTAATATAATCAACGATATCTTTTTCTAGCGTCTCTCTATGTACGTTAGATATAAATAGCGGAATTTTCAAGTCCGCTGATTTAAATTTCTCCTCAGGTTTTATTTCTGCTTTTCCTGTCTTACCTATAAAACGGTTACGCAATCTGCGCTTTTGAACTTTTATCCAGGCCTCTGGCGGTTCTTCATTTTTCCAAGCTTCACCTTTTTTCAATATTTCGGCCATAGTTAGCGAAGACTGAAAATTACCATCACAAGATGTATCTTTTATTGCGTTATTATTGTTAGAGAACTTATTCACTACAATTGTTTTGTCATCATTCATCCTGCTTTTACTCGGTGAGTTCTGCATTGGAATTGGAGTTGTTTTAGCGCCTCCTGCGCTGAATGATTGCCGCCCATCCGCACCGTTATAAGCAGTCACGCCTCCAGATGTAAAGAGGTCAGCCTTATGCATATCTGACACAGGTGCGAGTGCATCGACACTATCACGAGCACGACTAGCTACTTGTGCGATAGCTATCTTTTCCGTCTCTGTCTGTACGTCAGTTGTTTGTAACGGTACATCAGCTGTTGATAACTCGTGCGACAAGCCCATCGGCCCACTGTCGCCGAACGTAGTACCCACATCCAACAAGAATGCACTGCACCTTCTACCTACCTTATGATGATGAGCTGGTGATGTGGATGTTTTTAAGAAAGATTTATCTTTCTTTAGCTCTTCTAGGTGCGTCTTGGTTACATAATTATCCTTGATGATCTTAACCTCCTGTTGCAACAGAACTATATCCTTCAGCAGTCGAGTTACATCTACATGATCGAAAGTGACCGGCGGAAGTTTTTGTAGGTCACGAGCAACAAAAATGGGTGCACTATCAGGGTCTGTTTCTTTGAAAAGACTAATGATGTCTTCTAACTCCCTTTGGGATTTCCCATCTGTACGCCGAGTTAATTTTCCATCTCTACGTCTTATATTTTTTCTTTTACCTGAGGGCAATGACTCGAAAAGCAAACTTTTTGCATTAGTAATATCTTCAGCTGTAAAGGCACTACTACAAATTCGGACAATGCTCTCCTCGTCCATCACATCTGCCTTGTTTTGTATAAAGGCAAGCACTTCGCTTATCACAATATTACAATTTGTACATTTTACCACTTTGGACGCCATTGTCTTATCGTACAATGCAGCAAAATATATCGGAATTACAAGAAAAGTATGAATCTCTGCGAAATGAATATAATTTTATGCAGCAACGTGATCGCGCCATGAATATTGAGATCTCTCAGATCCCCGAAAAAAAGAATGAAATTGTCTCCGATTACGTTATTGCAATAGGCAAATACACGGGAATAGTTATATCTGCCGAGGACTTAATTTATGCTCATCGTGTTAAATCACGTGACAGCGACAATAAATCACCAAAAAATATTGTGGTTCAACTAAAATCAATCCTCTTGAGAGACAGCATCATCTCTGCTGTACGTAAGAAGAAGGGTTTGACTACAATTGACATAGGAATCCCGGGAGAGTCGCGAAATATATATGTTAATGAACACCTCACACCTGCAAATAAAATGCTACTAAAACAAACCAAAGTCGCTGCTAAATGTGCAAATCCTAAATATGAGTACGTGTGGGTTCGTAACTGTAAAATTTATATAAGGAAAGACGATAATTCCCCAAAAATTCACATAAAAAACTTTTTAGATTTAAACAAAATTAAATGACTGTGTTACTTCAAGTTACGACTATTGTTGTTTATCTTAAACGGTGTACTCGTATTGTTCTATAATAGTGTGGCTGAATGTTTTTTAAAATCACATAATGTTACTATTTATATATATTATACAAACATTTTTCAAATACTTTATTTTGTATACTATAGACTTATTATTTTATATACACTATATACTTTATTCTTTATACTATATTGTTATTTATACTTAATATATACTCGTACATACATAAGCTCCTTTTATCGATCTGTGTGGGTAACTCCTCATTTAATATCGGATTCATGCTTACAAAACAACAAAGGTATGGTAATTCCTATAATATTAGTGATGTTGAAAAGTAATCGATTAGATTTGTTTTTCGTTCTAAATTCATATATGGTTACTATTTATATACACATAAACATTTTATATAAATACAAATTACACTTAATACATACATACACATGCAACGATTGCTTGATCAAGAGGATTACCACTAATGTGTTATCTAATATTTATCTACAAAACTACATAAAATTGTTAAGTTCCGACCTTACTACTTTATTTTCAAGTACCTACCGAAATTTAAAGTCTTATTGTGAGTCTAAATTACAGCTTATCATTATAAACAGTAAAGTATTTCGGAACACATTATTTTTGTTTGTTTATGATTCATTTTCACTTTAATTGTTCTTTGTTTTAATAGCCGTTTATAATAATCTAAAAAAGGGTTTAAGCCTGTACTACCAAAATGTTCGTGGTTTACGGACGAAATGTAATGAACTATATAACAATATCTTATCTCAAGACTATGATATAATCTTATTGACCGAAACCTGGTTAAAAAGTGATATTTATAATAACGAACTATGTGATCTTAGATATGATGTTTTTCGAAGTGATCGTAATTATTTATTGTCAGGGAAAAAGGTCGGTGGCGGAGTGTTAGTCTGCATACGTCGCGAATTGAGTGCATGTCTATGCGGCCAATGGTCCAGTGCACCTACAACGCATGAGTCGGTGTGCGTGACTTTACCTGCACGTACGCTTGGGTCCTCAGTCGATCTACATATAGCTATAGCGTACATTCCACCTGACTCGAACGTAATACAGAGTGGATTGAATGATATTAAGCATAACTTATCGCATTGCATTGAAAATTATCCCATGGACAATTTTTTACTCGTGGGAGATTTTAACTTACCGTGTTTGAGATGGGACTCCAACAATTGTATTGCACACGTAGACGGTTCATCTTTTATGCATAATTTAGCGATATCTTTCGTTGATGATTTAGGTTACCTCGGTCTTAAGCAATACAATTATAATTGTAACTCAAAAGGTAATATTCTGGATCTATGTTTTTGCAATTTACCATTGGTTGTTAGAGCTTCGTTACCTCTCATAAAGGAAGATATATATCATCCTGCATTAAATATTGAAATACCTGATTTTAGCATACAACCCTTTAAAAAACGTAAACATCCGCGTTTTAACTTTTTCAAATGTGACTATGAGAAGATGAATAATTATTTTAAAAATATTGACTGGCGCTCAGAATTAAATGCCGCCGACACAATTAATGAAGCCGTAGATCTTTTTTACAGTAAATTACATGAATGTTTCTCCATTTACGTACCCATTAACATGTATTCTAACAACCGACATTTTTATCCTGTATGGTATTCTTCTTCACTAATAAAAATCATTCGCGAAAAATGGCGCGCTCATTGTAATTGGAAAAAATACCGTAACCCAAGAGATTATGATGAATTTTCGTTTTTAAGAGCACGACAACACCGTATTCAACTTAATTGTTTTAACTTTTTTACAAACAATGCTGAACAATATATTAGGTCCAGTCCTAAACACTTTTGGAAATATGTCAGTTCGAAAAGGGGCTGTTCCAGTTATCCAAGAAAATTTACACTACGAGGACAGACATATGACGAGGGTGCAAGTATTTGCTCAGCTTTTAATAAATTTTTTCAAAGTGTTTTTATTACACCTTCATCAAGTAGCCAAACTCAGCCTCGTCAGACATTTGAGTACTCTAGTACGGAATCATTATCCCGCATACATATTACTAGAGAAACAGTTCTTAAATTCCTAAAATCACTTGATAAATCTAAGGGACCTGGAACTGATGGTATTCCCCCCTATTGTATTGATTTCATGTGCTGATAGCTTGTCATTGCCAATTACTATTTTGTTTTGTCGTTCTCTCGATGAATGTATTTTCCCAGATTTATGGAAAAAAGCAAATATAATTCCCATACATAAAAAAGGACCAAAAACCTCAATTGAAAATTACCGTCCGATTTCTATTTTGAACACTATCAGTAAGATTTTTGAAAAAATTGTTTACAGCTTCATCTACCCCCTTATAATCCGTGGCATTCCTGATACACAGCATGGCTTCATAAAAGGACGGTCTACGGTATCAAATTTGTCTTTGTTCTCAAGTTATGTCCTCCTGCATATGGAGAATGGTGGTCAGGTGGACGTGGTCTACACTGATTTTGAAAAAGCTTTCGATCGTGTAGACCACGACCTCTTGCTCCGCAAGCTCTATTTGCTTGGAATTCAAGGAGACCTACTCCGCTGGGTGTGCTCCTACCTTTCCAATCGCTCTCAAGCTGTAGTGCTGGGAGGATACAGATCCGACTATGTAACTGTTCCCTCGGGTGTCCCTCAGGGATCGCACCTTGGCCCGCTATTCTACAATGCGTACATCTTTGACATTGCCAACTGTTTTTCTTATTCTAATCACCTATTATATGCAGATGATAAAAAAATATATCGGGCAGTTAATTCTGTTGAAGATTGTAAATTGTTACAATACGATTTGGATAAACTGTTTTCTTATTATCAACAAAACAACATCTTCGTTAATATTAAAAAATGTCAGAGTATAAGCTTTACGCGCAAGAAAAGTCCAATTGTTTTTCCTTATAACTTTAATAATCAACTATTAACGCGGGTCAATGATGTACGCGATCTCGGCATTTGTTTTGACTCCAAGATGCTCCTCAATATGCATTATGATAATATAGCAGATAGAGCTTACCGTATGCTTGGATTTGTTCTAAGAACCTGTCAACCGTTTAAAGGTACTTTAGCATTGAAAACGTTATATTTTGCATATGTGAGAAGCATACTGGAGTACGCTAGTCCTATATGGTCGCCTTCATATGAAGTTTATAAGGCACGCTTAGAGCGTATTCAGAAAAAGTTTTTAAAATCTCTAAATTTCAGGTGCGACGGCACTGCACACACATTTATGTCTTATAGTGATAATTGTCGTAAATTTAATTTTCTCACGTTAGCGGAACGCCGTGAGATTTTAGACATGGGTTTTTTTGTTCGATATTTTACGCGCTCAACTTGATTGCCCTGCTCTTCTTTCACAAATATCCTTTAATGTACCCCGACGTAGGACTAGGCATACACCTTTACTGGGTGTTCCCTTACATCATACTAATTATGGTAAGAATTGTGTCCTCTCCAGAATGGTTAGAACTTTTAACACAAAATTTTCTCATATTGACCCATTTATCCATTCAAAAAATTTATTTAAGCGAAAGGTAGTACAGGCTTTGACAGTAGACAATTAACCTTTATTGTTTATGTTGGTAGCCTCTGTAGTTTTGTAAATCCGTAGTAATATCTCAAGTTATATGTCTTCAATTCGCGTATATTCTATGTATGTATATTTATTTAAATGTTAGTATATATATACTTGCCTTTTTTATTTAAATGTATAAGTGTTTAATTATAATATGGTTATATGTATATGTGTATATGTATGTGCTTACATGTGTAAATATTATCCAATTGAAGTATAAATAATTTTCTAGGTCAGCCATGACAAACATTTTAAATTTATTTTTGATTTAAGGTTTTGTAATATTCTTTTTTTCAACTTTTCATACTTCTGATTTGTGATAAATTGTGAAAAGAGGATGACTATTATTGGCCCTATGTAAAACATATTATATAAGATTTTTTTTCATAGAATGAAGGCTGTTGTTATCCCTAATAAATAATAATAATAATAATAAAAACTATAAACAGCCGATATCATATTCATTTTGTGCTGGCAGTACAAAAAAAGCTGAATCAGCTATATGATTAAGAGAAATATAAGAAAATTAAAGGAGTCTGGCTTTAAAGTCCTTGCTACTGTATGTGACCAGGGAACATCAAATGTTCGTACCAAGTGGAACATATTAGATAAATATTGAAATATGTATACAGGCTATTGAAATATGTATACAGGGTAACCCTGTATATATATATTTCAATATAAATTATATTGGTTAAGTCGACCTAGATCCTTTTGGGGGTTATAATTTGCATCATTACCGACTGTTACGACTATGAAACACCAAACATCAAACTTAACTGTTTTCAAGATATTGGATTTTTAGTTTTTTTTTTATAAAAATTGCTAATTTTTTGTATATAGGAGGAGGCTGGGCAGTTTGATGCAAGGGATTGATTCACCTAACATATATCCTAATGGATTAGATGTAATCGAGTCGTGATAACACCAGGGATGGAAAAAATCATGATTTTTTTAATTTTAATCAAATCATGCTGATTTTTTTAAAAAAAATCATTTATTTGATTTATTTTGATTTTTTTTTTATTTTTTTTGTATATTTTGAAATTCATGTTTTGGTAACACTGTTTGACATAGTAGGATTAAAACTTTGAACCTGGCAACACAAAAAAAAACAACACAAACAATTCGGTATTTGTCATTCTTTTCTTTTCATACTTTGAATTTTTTTTTGTTTTTTTTAAGAAAACGTTACCCCTACACTAAGATTTTCTCTTGTATTGTGGGGGCAGTTTACAAACATAAATTGCACAAGGACGAACATCCAGACCCGGAACAACTACTGTTCCGTGCGGGATTCGAACCCGCGACCCCCAGCGCAGCCACTCATTGCTAAGCCACTGCGCCACGGAGTCGTCGAAAAAAATTGTTGAGATTGTTGTAAAATTACTTGCAAATTTTGACGATAATGAGTAACGCTGGAAGAAAAAAGGACCTAAACTCTGATTTTTTCATTCCGTAGAATTCTGACATTTCGTAAGTGTTGCTACTAAAAAAGTTCTCCACCGAAAAAGAGACAAATTTGAACCATTTGAGGGCAATAAATAATAAAATGCTACGTATTTTTTATGTTTCACCTACAAAAAAGGTAAATCTAAATATTTACTTATACAAGTCACCTAATACAAAAATAACAAATATTTCAATATCACGAACAATATATCTAATTAACTTTAATTACTTAATATTTTATTCTTTAGCTGGCATCACTGTCTACTAATTCCAGGTTTAAAAAAACCTTTTAAAAAAAATGTTAGCTGTCACGTCGCGTCTGTCACATTGATTGATTTTCATTCGACTTCTTTGAATGCTCGAATGCGCATGTGTTCTCGGTGTTTGCTGCTATTTGTTGTTATTATCTTGTTATATTTGTTAAGTTTCTGTTATTCTGTTAAGTTTTTTCTTGTTGACCTTTCGTTTTGTGATCGTTTGTTGATTTTTATAAACGTTATGGAGCCACAACCTGGCCCTTCCCGGGAAGCAGCCCCATCTGACAGAGCACAAGGCTTAGACTTTCTTTCTCCCAGAAAGAAGCGTCCTCGTGGTGCTTTTACGCCCAACGAAAAGACCATAATTCTAAATATTTACAAATATAATATAGAAAATTGGCCGCAAACAACTGATTGGAGTGCAACGGAATGTGCTAAAAAGACTTCTGAGATGACTGGCGTGGGTCTGTCAAGTGTCTATAAAATTACCAAAGAATATAAAGACACAAAAGAATTTCAAAAGCCGAAAAAGAGTGGACCTCAACTATCTTTCATACAAAAATTTGACGAATTCACTTTCGCCGCAACTCGACGAAAGGTTCACGCGTTTTTCTACAGGAACGAGATTCCGACTATTGAAAAGGTAAAGTTATTGCTAATTCTTTAACACCTCGTTGCTGACATCCCCCATTGTTTTAAAACTATACTTTAACCTGTGTTGCCTGTCTACATTTTAACTGTAATGTAAATGCTTATTTCAGATTCACCAAGAGATAACTGGTGATCCAGACATGCCTGTTATGTCGAAATCAACATTAAGAAAAGTATTGAAGCATTTAAATTTTAAATACACAAGTCGCAAACGTCGAAGTGCGCTAACAGATCGCAAGGAGATAGTACTATGGCGTCAAAAATACTTGCACCAAATTAAACAATATAGAAGAGAAGGCAGGCTTATATATTACCAGGATGAAACGTGGGTAAACGAAGGCAAGTATTGAATTATGTGGTAATTAACTTTTTATAACCTATCTTTTCTTCAAAGTATTAGTCGGAAATCGAATTCTGTACTTATGTAATACTTAAATTAACTTTGTTAATAAATTTTTGTTACCAAAATGAATAAATAAATAAAGAAATCCATGTTTACAGGTAATATTTTTCAATTTATATGCATATATAACTGTCCTCATGTATAAGTGAAATATTAAATATATTTTTATTTTCAGGACATACCGTCAATAAAGTGTGGTGTGATACCAACATTCAATCTTCACGACAAGCTTTCCTCGATGGCTTGACAACAGGGCTTAAGGCACCAACAGGCAAAGGGGGGCGACTTATAGTTAGCCATATAGGGAGCGAAGAAGGATTTTTGGAAGATGGTTTATTAGTTTTTGAGGCAAAAAAAGGCTTGGCAGATTACCACAAGGAGATGACTGGGGAAGTATTTGAGGAGTGGTTCACAAAAATACTTCCAAAATTAAAACCAAACTCGGTAGTAGTGTTGGATAATGCTCCCTATCATTCGAGGAAGGTCGAAAAAGTACCAACGAGTGCATGGAGAAAAGGCGATATCCAAGCGTGGTTGACTTCAAAAAATTTAAATTTTGAAGAAAAAATGCTAAAAGTTAATTTATTGGAAATTGTGGGTCAGGAGAAATACAAATATCAACAGTGTATTGTAGACGAGATGGCCACAGCACAAGGCATTACTGTGCTTAGACTGCCCCCATATCATTGTGAGCTCAACCCTATTGAATTGGTGTGGGCTCAAGTGAAGGGGCATGTCGCAAGACACAACAGAAGTTTTAAAATGGCGGAAGTTAAAAAACTATTACTGGAAAGTATAAGTAGTATTACTCCTGATAAATGGCAAGAATGTATCAGCCATACAATCAAAGAAGAAGATAAGATGTGCACTCTCGACGATTTCATTGACACAGTCGCAGACTCTTTAATAATTCATGTCAGCGATGATGACGATGATGAAGATAGTGATATAAGTATTAATGATGACTAAAGATTTTAATAAAAATATGTTATTTTTACTTGTGCATTTTTTACTGTTTGTAATGAAAAGGGACGTAATTATCACTCGCCGTAAAACCATGTAGAGTACCGCACTTAATAAAATGGATACATTTACTAACAAATAAAATGTATGTATAGACTCAGATGTTCAGACACGTATTGAAATTGAAAAATGTGCCCGGCCAAAAAGGTTTGTAATCTCTGACATGTCAAAAAATGATAGCTGTCAGAATTCTACGGAATGAAAAATCAGAGTTTAGTTTGGGTAAACTTCATCGAAGTGTCAAACAAAGCAAGTGGAAAAACTGGATGTCGAGCAGAATGCCGAAAATGTGGAAAAAGTATGCAGGGTTTGGTGAACAGATTGAAGAAACATTTGAAAACATGTAACACAGGTAACAACATATGAATTTTACATTCATACCTATCTATCAATTATTCAGAATTTCGGCTCTCAGGCCTGTCGGCTATGCTTACGTACGCTGCTCTTGTGTTTGTGCCTATAACTATAGGAATTAATTACGTTTTATTTTTATTTTACAGATGTGCTACCTAATCCTTCAAAGGAACACTCATGTTCGAATTCAGAACATGTTGAAAATGAGCTCGGGCCACCCTTGTCTCCGGGTCCGAGTCCATCAAAGAAGAGGAAACTGGAACCAAAGCCAATTGCTTCATATTTTTCACTTACTACAAGTGAGCAAAAGGAGAAACTAGACAAGCAGATAGCAAGGGCAATGTTCGCTACAAATTGCCCTTTTTAGGGTTCCGTAGTCAACTAGGAACCCTTATAGTTTCGCCAAGTCTGTCTGTCCGTCTGTCCGTCCTCACTTAATCTCCGTGACCGTTAGCACTAGAAAGCTGAAATTTGGTACCAATATGTGTATCAATAACGCCGACAAAGTGGTAAAATATAAATTGGAAAAAAATGTTTTATTAGGGTAGCCCCCCTATATGTAAAGTGGGAAGTGATTTTTTTTTTTTAATTTCAACCCTAACGTGTGATATATTGTTGGAAAGGTATTTAAAAATGAATAAGGGTTTACTAAGGTCATTTTTTGATAATGTCAATAATTTCGGAAATAATCGCTCCAAAAGTAAAAAACAATGTGTCCCCCCCCCTCTAACTTTTGAACCATAAGTTTAGAAAATATGAAAAAAATCTGTAAAGTAGAACTTTATAAGGACTTTCTAGGAAAATTACTTTGAACTTGAATGGAAAGTCGGAGCGCTTGCCGCGGAGCGTGCAATATTGCACGCTCCATGTTCGCGCACGTACCCACTACCGGGAGCAGTTGCAGGAGCGCGGAGCGCTGCTGGAGCGTGAACATAATGGATACCCACCTTTAAACTCATAAGTGGGAACACTTATTGTGACGGACGGGAAACTACGGAACCCTACACTGAGCGTGGCCCGACACGCTCTTGGCCGGTTTTTCATCTATAGGACACCCAGAAGTACTAAAAGCAATTGAGATGCTGCGGCCTGGATACAGACCCCCAATCCGCAAAACAATAGGTGATCGACTGCTGAATCAAATTTATATGGAAGAAAAGAAAATAAGTGATACAAAACTAAACGGAAAATACGTTTGTATGTCCGTCAATGGATGGTCCAATGTCCACAATGACCCTATCATTTGTGTATCTTTGACTACAAACACCGGAGAAGTATACCTGTATGAAAGTATAGACACTTCAGGTAGTCCACACACAGCGGATTACCTGACAGACTTAGCATCAAATCTAATCAAAAAATGCAAAAATGACCATGAATGCCAGGTAACTAGCCTTGTCACAGACAACGCCTCTAATATGGGAAAAATGCGCGATAATCTAAACCTAAATCAGCACGCCGATATTAACATCTTTACCTATGGCTGTGCAGCACATATACTAAATTTGCTATCTAAAGATTTGGCAGTGCGTGAGGTCAAGGAACAAGTAGTTCATGTCGTGAAATATTTTCAGAATAACCATTTTGCGAATGCTAAATAAAAGGAAGAGCAGGGAAAACAGCTGATACTTCCCCAAGATGTAGATTGGAACACATTTACTGACTGCTTGGAAAGTTATCTTGCAGCATGGCCTAAGTTGATAAAAATCTGTGAAGAAAACAAAGGGAACATTGACAGAGTCGTTGCACAAAAAGTGAGTAATATAATAATCAAAAGATCGGCAGAAGATATGTTACAAATATCAAAACCGATATCAGTTGCACTTGATAGGCTCCAAGCAAGCTACGCAATACTCAGTGACACAGTTCAGTGCTTTAAAGAGTTAGAGGCCACATTTGGTAGTAACGGAGCTTCTGCGGAACAGATTAATGCTTTAAAAATGAGAAAAAATCAAGCAATCACTCCAGCACATTTGTTGGCTTTTCTAATAGATCCAATAAAAAATAACCACAAATTGACAACTGAAGAACGTGTTTCAGCCATGGACTTTGCCTTAAAATTTAATCAAAATATTGGACTGATACAGTTAATAATTAAATATGAAGCCAGATCTGAGCTTTTCATCGAGTTCATGTTCACCGAAGAGATTTTAAAAAATGTAAGGTCAATGGAATGGTGGTTATCAATTATAAAAAATATGATGGATCAAACCATGCCTTAATTAAAGCAGTTTCAAGCTTGTTCACAGCTACAGCATCTTCGGCGTCAGTTGAAAGAATCTTTTCAACATTTGGTTTAGTTCAGTCGAAGTTACGAAATAAATTAGGGAACGAAAAAGCTAGCAAACTTGTTTTTCTTTTTATAATGTACAATAGTAAAAACTAAATATTTTATTTTGTTGATTTCAGATGTTTACGCAGGCAAGCGTCCTTTTATATTTTATGTAATTAATCTATTTTGGATTAATTTTCTAAAGTTTATGAATTAATGTATGAGACTGATTTAAAGATTATTTAAGTGTAAAATAATACTGTATTAATTACAGTGCATATCTTAAGTGTGAATTTCTTAAAAATTATTTGGTTGATTTTATTAAGTATATGAGACTGACAGACCTTATCGTTACAGTCTTTGTTGATTTTTCAAAGTTTATGAGACTTGTAGTAGAATAATAAGAATAACATAAAACAATGAAAGATTTTACCTTATTTTAAGCCAGTTTTATTTCATTTTCTGCCTATTACATTAATTTATATATACATGTTGATTTAAATCAATGATTTTTTTATCAAAATCAAGCGATGTAAATCGTGATTTAAATCGGTCTGATTTAAATCAGCCAACCCTGGACAACACTATAACTTGTCTATGCCTGCCTTAGCGCGGCTCTTGCGGCCGCGCAGCCATCCATTTAGCTGATGGCGTTAGACGAGATCATTTGTGTTTTGTGTTCGTCCTACTAAAAAAACACGTGGAATGAAAAAAAAGTTTCACTCACTTTCTACAACTTCTTCGAAATATTTATACATATTAAAGGTGAGCTGTTCCATCCATAAGTATTAGTTTAATGATTTTTTCTCAATAAATCAACATTGATAAACATGATGTTAACGTTTTACAAAAACTTCTGTTGGGGCACAATAATACGGTAAACTCTGGGGCACTTTGATGCGTATCATTCTGCCCCAATGTAAAATTTTGTAATTAATAATTAATTTAGCGACTTCTTTTTTTTTCAGAGAGTGGTGTGAACCTATAATCCAAAGACAGAACGATTCAATATAAACAAAAAAAATATGAAGGCCATATCCAACGTTATGTCGAAGAAACTATCTATACGTGTAGTAGGTGACATGTGCAACATCAAAGCTGCAACATTGTAACATCCTATCAAGAAATTTCGAAAATCTTTTAACCATAACCAAAGATCATCGTCCTAGTCATACATTTGACCTTCCAACGGTTGTCAAAGATGCTCATTGTACTCTATTTGCAGATGACCTGAAACTGTATCTTGCTGTGAGGAACAGAGAGGATTGCCAAAAGTTACAACAAGATATAGATAGGGTGGTAGCCTGGAGCCAACATAATAACTTACAATTTAACATCACGAAGTGCATAACTATGACCTTCAGCCGTGTACTATCTCCAGTTACGTACCAATACCAGGTTAACGGGGCACCAATAGCGAAAGTGTCAAAAGTCAAAGATCTAGGGGTTAATTTCTCCTCTAAACTAGAATTTAGAGAGCATATAACCAAAATCTGTAAGAAAGCCTACAGAAATTTGGGATTCGTACTACGGATAGCTAGGGACTTCACTAATATAAAGACAGTTATTGCATTATATAATTTTTAGTGAGGAGCCAATTAGAATTCAACGCGGTCATCTGATCTCCACATGAGACTAAGTATAGTATCATGTTGGAGAGAGTGCAGAATATATTTATTAGATATTTATATCAAAAAATGTATGGAGTATACCCATTTTACCCAAATAAGTATCCTACCTTATTCACCTTAGGTATGGTAGGATACAATGAGCTAAAGATTAGGAGGAATTTAGCGCTTGTTTCATATATCTTTAAGGTGATGAGGGGAAAGATTCACAATCCAGACGTATTGCAACAAGTGCGCATATGTGTTCCGGACAGATACGTATGGCGGCGGCGGCGGCGGCCGCAGCTGATAGCTGTGCCGCGCGGCCACACTAGATAGCTGTGCCGCGCGGCCACACTAAACTGGTGACTGAAGCGCCCTTTACGCGCGCCCTCTGTATCCTCAACCGTATAGCAGAAGACATAGATATATTTTGTTGTACTCTGGGTGGGTTCATCGTAAGAGCTCTGTTTGAAATTAGTTATGGTCCTTATGTGATATAGATACGTGTTTGAAATAGCAATAAGTACATATCTGTAATCGAAAATTATTAGCTTGTAACTGTGTAGTTAGAGTTGGTAAAATAGTTGTCTACATTATCGCATTAGGTGATAAACCTGTAAAGATAATTGTATAGTGGAAAATAAATAAATAAATAAATAAATAAATAAATATCGCATACTTCAAAACATAAATAAATTTCTAAATACACTGTTGCTTAAATATTTTCAAAACAAGAAGAGAAGATGCTTACAAAATATTTGTTGAACTGTAGCAAAATGCACCACGGGTTGTGCTTACAGCAACTTTTGGTTTTGGCCTATGAATTTGTCAAATACTCAGGTGTTAAATATCCAGAGTCATGAAAGAAAAATAAACGTGCTAGGAAATACTGGTCAAGAGGACTTAGAATGAGAAACCAGGAGCTTAGCCTCAGAAAACACTAACGCAGCAAGAATTTTCTCATTTAATAGAAGAGCATTGAATCATTTATTTGACAATTGTAAGTGTGTAATGCTACGTTATACATTTGCTCCTGACCGTATCATCAACCTTGACGAAACTGGATTCACCACTGTTTAATCTACCCCTTTTTAGCTGAAAAAACATAGAGGCAAGTAGGACAAATGGTGTCCGCCGAAAGGGTAGAGCTAGTTACATTTTGCTGGATAGTAACTGCAACAGATGTTGCCCTTCCCCCTGTCTATGTCTTTCCTCGTTTTTATTACGTGTGTTTTATTTAGATTGATTTATATCAAAAGAAAAGTATGTGTTTTTCTGTTCAATTATGGAAAGTTTATATGAATGTATATGGTTAAAATGACGAGTTAGAGTAAAAATGTGATATATTCATGTAACTGTAAGGCTGATTGTAATCTCTGAACAATAAAAGTATTATTACATACTAGTCTTCCAAATTAGTACCAATTTCATACAAAGTATCAAAGTGCCCCAAGTAGTGTATCTAAGTGCCCCGTAGGTGGGGCACAATGATACAAACTCCTTGTTTTACTAAAAGTTTTGTATTTTATTTAAACATTAATTTGACAGTTTCTTTTGAATACTTTCATAATATATATATAGATTAATCAATTCGGAAAACGTAAAAAATATACACTTTAATGTTATTTCAGTACTTAAAAGTGACTTTGAAATTTTTCGCATCAATCTGCCCCACTTCCCCCTAGTACTAATTTTCTTGTAAATTGTGCATTTTATTTTACTTATAACTTTTGTGTAGTAGATAAGTTGCTTTATTATTTTAACCCTGGACACCTAACCTTCGTCGATTTGACGAGTACGCGACAAAAAATTCGCTGTCCCTTTTCGGCGCGTGCGGCGATCATAGCAACGTTGCCCGTCCACTCAGTGTTCACCGAGCTCTTCCGGGAGGCGTTAGGGTCCAGCGGGTAAGTACAATATTATTCGAGATATTACGATAGTGCTCGTCGTTTCGACGAATGGTTAGGGTTTGTGTATACTTTCGCAACTAATTTTTTTTTTGTTTTCTTGCAGTTTTTCTATCATGACTTCAAGAAAATTGCTTCCTCTTCTAATAGCACGTATGTTATTAGAAGAGGAAGATTTCAGTGCTTCGGAGGAATTATCTGATAGCGAAACTGAAGATAACCTGGAGGTAAATGCTGTTGAAAGTGATAATCAGACAGAAGAGTCTTCCGGTTCTTCCGACGATGAAGTTGTTCAAGAGCAGATTTCTCTTGCTTTGATGGATGATGTGCTGGAACCACAAACAGGTGAATGAGGTCACCTCGAGAAGTGAGTTCGAGTAATGATCCAAGTATATTGTCCTTCTCAACAAGTACGGTCCGCAGTCGGTCTCGCTATGTTTGGACAACTAGCAAAGGGCGTTCTTCCAACAGAACAGCAGCAATAAATATTGTACGTATTGCTGGGGACCAACTCGCACACTAAAAGATATTGTCGATCCAGTATCGTTATTTGATCGGTTCGTGACTGATAAGATAATAAATGAGGTTCTAAAATGGACAAACACAGAGATTGCGATAAAAAAGCAGACCTATGCGCAAATAACTTCTACGCAAAATGACTCTGGCAAAGAAAAAATCAGAGCTCTATTGGGTATCCTGATGTTAACTGCAGCTCTGAAAGACAATCATCTGATCCTTGATGAACTGTTCAATACAGAAATATTCTGTATTGAACAGATCTGGTGTAAGATACGTATCGTGTATGAGTAAAGAGAGGTGCGATTTCCTTCTGCGATGTCTACGTTTCGACGATAAAACATTTCGCTTACAACGGCAAAAAGACGATCACTTTACGCCTATAAGGGATATATGGGCATTGTTTATGGTTCAGTGCCGTCAAAATTATGTTCCTGGAACAAATGTTACCATAGATGAGCAGCTGCTGGCATTCGGGGGAGATGCGAATTCCGGATGTATATTCCGAATAAACCCGCTAAGTATGGAGTCAAGTTAGAAACGATGTGTGACAGTGGCACAAGGTATATGCTGTACTGTATGCCGTATCTTGGAAAAGGAACCAATATAGGAGGTTTACCTTTATAGGAAAGTACTTCGTAAAGGAACTTACTCGCAGTATACACGGTACGAACAGAAACGTTACCATGGACAACTGGTTCACCTCAGTACCACTTGCAAAACAGTTACTTCGACAACCTTACAAGTTAACAATTGTGGGGACATTACGATTTAATAAAATAGAAATCCCGGATGAATTGAAGAACCACAGAACGAGTAACGGAACCAGAAGACTCAATACGTCAATGTTCGTGTATGATGGACCATTACACTTCTTTCGTACAAACCTTCGAAACCCTTCGAAAACCTTCGAAAATGGTTTACATGCTCTCTTCTTGTGATGAGGAGGCCTCAGTTAATCCAGAAACAAAAAAGCCACCCTTGATTGAATTCTATAATAAGACAAAAGGTGGTGTAGACACATTTGACCAAATGTGCTCAGTCATGTCATGCAGCAGAAAAACTAATCGTTGGCCAATATGCGTCTTCTATGGAATGATGAATATAGCATGTATCAATAGTTACATAATTTACTGCCACAATACCCCTGTACAAGGTCAAAAACTAATGAACCGCCGTGACTTTATGAAGAAGGTGCATTCGCAACTTGTGCTTTTCGAACCATGGCTGAAAATCCGACTGGAAATTCGTACCATGCCGACGCACATCAAGAATAAAATCAAAAATATATTGGGTTCAGGGCACGATGAAGGTCAAGGTCAGAGTCAGCCACAACCCAGCAACGACCTTCAAATTACAGAGGCACCAAATAGCAGAAAAAGAAAAATCTGTAGTCTATGTTCATATACTAAAAGGCGCATGACATTCATCATGCGCTAAATGTAATTCAGTAATACGTGGCGAACAAAAGGTTGATTTTTGTTCAAAATGCGCTCTAAAAAATTATTTTTTTTATATTTTTCTAAATAGTTTATAATCTTATAATTTAGTAAGTACGCCAAAGAAGAAAAGGCTTTTTCCGTTGTTTTTTTATTTTAATTTTTATAAATATGTTGTCTTCAGTGATCTCATAAAAGCTAGAGCCTTTTTATAAGAGTGATAAAATAAATATAATTAGTAATAATACAAAAATGCATTGTTTCATTTTGTAGAATAATAGTTGGACCAAGTATATGTGCAATACGTATTACAAAAAGTTGTATTATAACTAGAAATTAAAACACCCTAAAAAGTATTGGTCGAATCGACGAATGGTTAGGGTTTACAGGGGACACTCAAACGTTAGGTGTCTAGGGTTAAATACCAAGATCTTAGGTAAATAAACTAAATTTTATGTCATTTTATTTCGATTAATTTACTTTGTATACTGTCATTACTGCCTACTTATAATTACTGTTGGATTTATTAATTTAAAATTGTTACTTTGTTGAAATATATTGATTGGTCGATATTTATTTATTTATTTCTGAAATTGTGTAGATCGCTTAATTTTTTATTCATTGTTTTTACTGGTTATGGGTGTAAATTACCTGAATAAAGATGATTATTATTTTTAAATTGAGTTTTATTTTTTATAATTTATCTTTGATTACATAATTCTGCAACTAACTAGTTTTGTGCATATATGCACAAAACTAGTTAGTTGCAGAATTTTGTGATCTTGTAAAATTCGTTCAAAATAATCAGTACACCAGGGATGGGGCTGTGCTATAGAATATATTTATAGATATATCATTCGTTTAGTTCGTCAACTCCACTATAGATGTCAACACGGAATCGACTAGCAACTCTATTCCAGGTATGTACAATGTACTCTGTGGCTTCCTCGCTAGTGTATGCTGTAAGCTTAGAGCGTGTGCATGTATGTTGGATACTGTCAGCATTGCACGTGTCGTTTACGAAATAATATTAACTGATGATATATTTTAAAAATAACAAATTTAATAATGAGTCACAAACATAATAGTAGATCAAAAAAGATTCTGGATTTATTAGGTAAGTAGTTGAACCGTTCTAAAGTAGATAGTATTTTAATTTCAATAAAAGTAGAGGTTACATTAACATTTTGATAGATTTGGTAAAACTTAGATCGCATGTAACTAAGAGTGAACCTGTTTCCATTTCCCAAAATTGGTCTTAAACTCGGCATAGGCCCTAAGAGCTTCTCGAAAGAAAAACTACCTATTTATTACCTGACCCGAGAATCAAATAGAGTACCTCATGCACAGCCGGGCACAGTCGCGTTGCAGTAGTAAACTGTAAGGACCTATTAAACGATTAGTCTTATATTTGAAGAATACATATTAATGTGTTATTTTGTTTGGTCTTATGGATTTAGCCATGAAGTGGTACCCGCTTAACACTCCGTTACACGCGCGGGGCACAGGCGTGCCCCAGCTGCATATTTTTGTCTGTAAATCACAAAACTTAACAGCCAGGATTTTGATTTTTTAAGTAGCTGTTGCATATATCTTCGCGTGAGCGTCAGTGACGCGTCGACTGTGCCGGCCACAGAACACATTTACCCTGACGGGAAGAACGAAAACTTCATACAAAAAAAAATGCCAACAACTTGCGACACTAGCGCGCCAGTTTTTGACCCGTGAACTAATTTTCGCGCCAGACTTCAAATCCGATGATAAACTCATGATTTTATTTCATTTTATTTTATGCCATGTATCATGAAAACAAAGCGAAATTCTGGTATTTAATTTGAAAATTACCTGAATTTTGGTTTATTTTCATGATGCATACATATTTATGGAAAGGTATTAAATAAAACTAAGTTGTAAGCGTGTTTTAAAATATTTATTTTTCTTTTCATTGCTTTTTTCGAAGCTTCATCGGTGAACTGCCTATTTTTTAAAATATAGTGTCGTTTTATACATATACATATAGTGGAAATAATTATATGCATTTTATTTTTATCATAGTGCTCAGAACAACCAAGCAACCATTCGAAATTTAATTTTCTTCTTAAAATTTCTATAAGTTCATTTTTTATATTTATTTTACACCCATGCTCATCCAAAAATTTATTAACAATTGTTGCAGCAATCTCCACTGTCTCCGTAAAAAATTTATTAACATAATGTAGACTGTTGCGCATACAACTGTATTCTTTAAAGCTTGTGAATAAATGACTTACCTCTGTGTTCTGGTCTGCAAGCATTGTGATTTTGCACTGATGGCAAATGGGTACTAATTTTTTTATCATGAAGCCACATACATATGCGCAAGCTTGCAGTTCTCCAGAACACTGAGGTATTACAGTATTAGATGCTTCTACACCTTCTGTTAAATCAAATGTTTTAACAGCTACATTTGTTTCTTTATTTTGGTCAACTTGACTTAAAAAAGATTTTAAATCATTTAATATGACATTATCGTCTTCTTTGCAATTTTTATTTTTACTGCTATGCAATAAATTGTTGATCATGGAGGTTTTGAGAGCTGCAACAAATTGTAGGGTGTTTGGGTTCGGGTTGCATCCACAATTGCTGCGGATGCAACCAAAACAGTTTTCTAATGGATCTTGATTGAGCCTGCGCGTTGATAAACTTTTTTATACCATATTGCCTTTCTAAATTAAAAAATAGACGCTCAACTGCATTTATAGTTCTAATAAAACCTTCCTGCGAAGGCGGCTTGCATCTGGCCCCAATAAATTGTAATTCTTGGAACAGGATTTTCATTTCCTTAAAAAAATTTAAATGTGGACTTCTGCGGGTAAAATTTGTAAGGAATTTTTTTCCTCTTTTCTGATCAGGCGTATCGCCATTTAAGGTGTCGAACAGCTGGTCTATTTTTTCTATCAGCATGGCTGTCGTCGTTGCTTCTTGCGGCAGTTCATCTGTAAAGTAAACACTTATTTTTTTATTTTATAGTGAAAGGTTAGGGAAAATGAAATTGAAGACAATGGGAAATTCACGCGTTCGCCGCGTCGCGTCTTGCGCCCTCGTTCGCTCTTGGAAGCGTGTCGGGGAGGGAGGCACGTGACAAGACGAGACGAGCGTGTACAGCAGGCATAAAAATTACACCTAATAAGTAATCAAAATTACACTAAATAAAGTAATCTTTATAAAAATATTCAATTATAAAAGAAAGCTGTCAACGCGAAGTAGCTTAATTTTATCTTATTAGAATGATTATTTGAATAAGCTCTAATAATAGTTGATTGACATATTCAGAAACTATTATATTATATTTCGAGACGTCGATTATTTTTGAAGATTATTAAAAGTTATTATTAAAATAATTAAGAAAACTAAGTTGTACAACCAGTGCGTGTTGCCAGTGATGACATATGGAACTGAGACGTGGTCCTTCACTGCTGGCCCTATGAGGAAGATCAAAGTCGCTCAGCGAGCTATGGAGAGGGCTGCTCTGGGTTTCTCTGCGTAATAAACTTAGAAATGAGGATATCCGCAGTAGAACCAGAGTGACCGACATAGCCCAACGGATTAGTAAGCTGAAGTGGAAATAGGTGGCCATATAGCTCGAAGAACCGACAACCGTTGGGGAAAAAAGGTTCTCGAGTGGCAGCCTCATACCGGTAGACGAAGTGTAGGGCGACCCTCCACTAGATGGAGTGACGACCTGGTAAGACATGAAGGAAGTCGATGGATGCAGGTGGCTCAGGACGGTGCTTTGTGGCATACCTTGGGGGAGGCCTATGTTCAGCAGTGGACTTGTAAAGGGCTGTAATGATGATGATGATGATGATTAAAAGTTATCCAATAAAACAACTTACTGTTCGCAATCTTTGCAAGCATTCCTGCAGCAACTGAATGGCTGAATACTTGGCAAGCTAAGCTGACTTTCATCTTTTGTTTAAAATTGGGTTCAATATGCTGCTTGGTTAAAGCAGGTGCAAAAACAAAATTTGGATTTTCATTGTCCTTTTCAAAGAATGATTTAATGTGGCTCCACTTGGCTACACCTGTAATAATAAACATGTAAAATATATTATAAATAATAACAGAAGTATTAATAAAATACATTTATTGAGTCTGTGTTAGTTTATATTAATCTGATGATCATCCGCGCGGCGGGTTGCACAAGACAAGATAAATCTTATGAAGCTTGAATTGCCACCTTTGACCTTAGTCATGTACTCATGTCATACCTACTTATTATCTATTATTTACAACATTTAAATTACCTGGTATAGATTTTCCATCAATTTGCAATACTTGAGGGCATTTAATGTCGTACTTCAGTAAATTATTTCTGAAGCATTTGATTAGGTGAGGTGGGTCTATAATTGTGACGATTTCATGGCCTTTAAACTTAAAATATGGTTGAGCCACTGAGGAACCAAGGGAGTTTAGTGCTTTGATGTTCACACCAAAGTTGTCCGATACAGTAGCTGTGACATTCAACCCAGCTTGGAAGCTTGCATCAAGTACCTGTAAATACAAATATATAATTATATAATATATTGAGTATGCAATGGCTTTTTTTCTTCAGTCAACTGTATTGCATACTTACTTCTTTTATAAGAACAGATAATCTATCAGCCGTAACACAGTCACCAGAAAAGTAGAAAGCTAAAGGCTGCTTCCACTTTTTTCGGATTCCAATAGCCATAAAAAGCAATGCATGTGTGGCTGGCTCCATAGTTCTGCCTTGATTTCCATGATCTTGATAACCATCAATTACATCTTGTTTACTATTATATTGCAAATGTTTTCGTATTGACATTTCGTCAAATGCCAAAATGCACAGATTTTCTTCTGGTTCTCGATTTTTAGTTATATCTTTAATTGTTTTGAATATTTGGCTATTTATACCGCATTTCATCGGAATTCTATTCAGCAATGCTTTTAATGTACCTTCACTTGGTAGACAAAAAAGTCGCCTCAGCAGTCTATAGCAGCCAGTAGACCTTTTATAGATGCTTAAAGCCATAACTTTGTCATCTATACTCCACCTCCGACCAGTTAGTTTTCTGGGAGTATTTTGCAGTTGACTTTGCAACAATAAAGCAAATGGCCCTGATATATTTTTGTCCATGAGACTTTGGACATTACTATTTGTAGTTAATGTTTTGAAGAGGGCACGTGGTTGTTTCTTAATTTTTTTTCTAAGTCTCATTATTTCGCTCAAATTTCTCCTACATCTTTTATACAGTTTAAGTTTCTTAGGGGTCAATTCCAATGACTTGCTTAAATCTAGCTCCTTCAAAATCCCTTTAGTCCTTGGCATCTGGAAATAAGTTAAATATTGTGATCATATAGATCCTCATTTCTTAAACAATACATAAACAGACTGTAGGTTCGAAACCTATACATATGAGGGCAACAATGAAAGTTTTTAGCACTGGCCACTTGCAAACGATATAATAAAAAATAAGTTCAAGTTTTGAAAGTGGAACTCTTTACCAATATTATTGGGTGCGTTTGGCAGAAAAAAGCGCTAGCAAGCGCTTGTAAACAAAATGGCGATCGTAAGCGGTAAGTGCTGTCAAAGCGTAAGTAGCTATTTTCCTCTAGGACACGATGTTAGTTTTAACCGGGTAACCTAACCTAATTTAAATATATGTTTGTAAAGTATTCATATTAAAAACTTACCAATCATGAATTTTTAATAACATGTATATGTTTATTCAAGTCATTATATTACTTAAAACTAATATTGCACATAAGAACTTATAAACTCTACTTCAAAACAAACAAATTAAATAAGCAAAATGGCGAATTGTGTCAGCGCTACTGAAGTAGCAATCGTGTCCTGGCCGAAAACTATTTTAGCGCTTGTAAGCGCTTGCTAGCGCTTTTTTCTGCCAAACGCACCCAATGTGTATGTATTTTATTAATTTGTCACTTGGTTACGATTTGGCGGCAAATTGAAAATTGTCTGTGTCACGACAACATGAACTCAACGCTAGAAAATTTTCGTACAATGGGTGCGTTTGGCAGAAAAAAGCGCTAGCAAACGATTACTAGCGCTAAAATAGTTTCCGGCCAGGACACGATTGCTACTTCAGTAGCGCTGACACAATCCGCCATTTTGCTTATTTAATTTGTTTGTTTTGAAGTAGAGTTTATAAGTTGTTTTTTTGCAATATTAGTTTTAAGTAATATAATGACATGAATAGACATATACATATTATTAAAAATTCATGATTGGTAAGTTTTTAATATGAATACTTCACAAACATATATTTAAATTAGGTTAGGTTCCCCGGTTAAAACTAACATCGTGTCCTAGAGGAAAACAGCTACTTACGATTTGACAGCGCTTTTTTATAATATATAATAAAAATTAAGTTATATTGATATAACTTCCTAGTTTGTTCAGTTTTTGATTTTCTAAGAACTTTCAGTGTCACTCTTGTAGGTAGTTAATAAACAATGAAGAAAACTCTTGATACCTGAGCAAGCGCCAAAGTCAAAAGCTTGTTTATTATACTTATTTAATTATGAGATATTGGTCACTGTGATTAAGATTGTTCATGAAAATTAGTATAAGTACTACAAACCTTCAAGCTATCAGTAGTTGGTTCACATATGGTTGGCACTTGAACAGGTAAAGATGTAGTTGGGTTGGCTGTGGTTGGCACCTGAACAGGTAATGAAGGTTCCAACACTAGCACCTGAAAATTACAATGAACAATTTAGAAAATTCATTCTATTTTCCACATATATGCACGATGGAGCATGATTACCGAGATGAGTTTTCACATAAGGAATATGAAATTTTTTTTGCGATGCGACAACGGGGATATTTATGCAGAACAGCAAACGAAATGCTGTCAAGGAGGTCAATGCACTTAACTTAATGGTGTACTATTTTATGTAGAAAATTCAAATCTAGAATATTTCGTCTATTTTGGAGAGACATCACCTTAAACTTATCCAGTCGCTGATAGTAAGGCTGCCTATGTGAGATACCACTGGCATGAAAGGCAAGATGTCGAGTAAAGGCATGTTGAATACTTTCAATGCGTTGGGAGTGCACACTAGAAGATGGATTCCATATGACACTAACGAATTCAAGGAGTCTTCTTACAAAAGCATTATATAAAACAAATTGACACCCTTTATATTGCGCTTAATAAATTCTAAGAACTTCAGGGCTTTGTAAATAAACAATAATGTTTATATGAGATTTAAAGGTTAGCTTTCTGTCAATAGTTACTCCTAAGTCTTTAATCACCAGTACCTCTTGCAAAACTACATTACCAATTGAGTAACTAGAGACAAGCAGTTTTATTTTCCTGGTTTTTTATTTTATTTTGTAAACAAAGTGCTGATCAGTTTCTACATTTAAATTATCAGGATGTTTCCAATGCCATATTATCCTCATTTTTGTGTTCAACTTGTTGAAAACTTCATGATTGAACTTCTAATAAAAAAGAGTAAGTAAGTAATCTCTCTGTGGAATAGTTTACCACCGGCGATTTTTCCTGACCGATACGGACCTGTGAGACCTTCAAGAAAAGATTTGCTCGCATTCTTACAATCCTTTTCTCTAAAACAAAATGAAATTTAAAATAGAGTTTAGACAAGGCCTATTAATTTCTTTCTGTGAGTTTTAGCTTAAGTATTTGTTTGACTGTACTTATAAATTCCAACCACATATCAAGCTTAATGATTGATGGAGTTTTGAGTAATATAGTAATTAATGTTTACTTACTTGAGGTTTTTCAACTGAGATATTTGTATCTTGTTTACTTTCACTTGCAGTTGCACATTGTTCCTGGCGAATCTTTACCATTAAATCCTGTGTCCCAGTTGGGATGGCAAAATTGTGCAATCTTATCCTCGCACTGTTAGTGAATGAGGAATCATCAAAGTGCTTACTGCATAACATTTTATGTTGCAAGTGCAAGTCTCTTAGTGATTTCTCAGTTGACCACTCTCCAGTAGGGTAACAGTATTCAGCCCATACACGTGCCCTGAAATTAATGATTTTTTAAAATCTAAGTGTAGTTTTGATCACAGTTTGGAAGGCCTTCTACAAGATAAGACCAATAACCTGGTAAGGGTCACGGGTAGCAGATGGATGCGAGACACACAGGTCTGGTCGTTATGGTGACCCTTGGGGGAGGCATGTGCCCAGCAATTAAAAATTTATGTTATGAACATTATGTTTACTATGTTATGAACATTATGAATGTTAAAAACATTAAGTACTAGGTACTTAATAAGATAATGAGGGAAAAAGTAACAAAAAATTAGAATAGCTTAGTTACTTACTTTAAAAATGTATGTCTACCAGGTAGAGGAAATCTGTGGAAACTCAAGTTTCCATCTTCTGTGGCAGTGATGTTACACTTTGCACACTTTCTTTTTCGTTCATAGCGCGTATGGCGTGACATATTAACAAATAATGCTCAGACACACGTACACAAAACAAAAAAAGAAATGAGTCTATATCTCGTAAAATTGTCCAGGCAAAAAGAATTACAAACACCAAATAATATATGAGTCTCTATCTCTAAGCGTTCAGCGGGCACACAAAACAAAAACACAGTAGCACGAAATAATGAGTCTCTATCTCGTAAAAATCTTCAGGCACATGCTATAAAAGCAAAGAAATATACAATAGAAATAAAAATATTTCAAAGTACGTTTAGCGCTTTCAATAATCCGCCATATTGCAAAGCAAAGCATCAGTAGTGATTTCTCTGTCTAGCTCTAGCGTATGGCGTTGTCTCTTTTTCGCTTATTTTGCCCGACGTTTGCATCGGCTCCATAGAGACTTGACCCCCCGTGGTGCCGGCGCTCGGACGTGCTCTGTGTAAGTGTTTATGCATCTTTGGGGCACGCCTGTGCCCCACGCGTGTAATTACGTAACTAGTGGTACGCGGCTTATTTGGTATTTATTATGTTTTTTTTTATTATTTTCAAGATAATTATGTTAAAAATCTGTGTAAATTTGTTAAATTCATATTACTGTTTTTATTTTTCTTTATTGGTGGTATGATTTTCGTAATTAAATTGGACATTTTTCTTGTTTTAGGTATTTTATCTTGTAAAGTTTGTCTGATTATCTGCTAAGATGGATGCACAGTCACAACGTGTAGCTAGATGGTTGGAAGAGACGGACGAAGAGGAGGAGAATGATTTGGAGGACCTGCCGAGTAGCGAAGATGAAGAAGATTGTTGTTTAGAAGAAAGACACGATTCTGAGTCGGAGCAAGAAAGCGATGTAGGGGAACAGATAATCCCAGATACTCCATCTGCATTGCAGCCGTTATCAGAGTCAAGCTCAGACGAGGATGTTCCATTGGCCAATTTAAGGATTTACAAATCTAAGTCAGGTCTTGAATGGCAGGCCACACCATACAGAACTAGCGTCCGATCCCAAGCGTCGAACATTCGTAGTCGTATTTGTGGCCCCAAAAATGACGCTTCAGCTTGCAAAACTCCAATCTCTTGTTTTGAATTATATTTTAATGAGGAGACAATAGATATTATTACAAGATGTACAAATATATATATCGACAAAATAAAAACAAAATACCAAAGACAAAGAGATGCCAAGAATACAGACTATACTGAAATCAGGGCAATGATTGGGATGTTACTCATGATGGGTGTAGAAAAAAGTGGTCGAAGAATACTGAAAGATTTTTGGGACAATAGGTTTGGAACTGCAGTGGAGGCTATTTATCTCACAATGTCTCAAAATCGATTTGCCTTTTTGCTAAAGTGCATTCGATTTGATGACATCCATACAAGAGATTCCAGAAAGGAAATTGATAAACTCGCTCCTATCAGACAAATTTTTGACATTTTTGTATCGAACCTACAAAAGTATTATACACCGAGTGAGTATCTCACTCTAGATGAGCAACTTGTGGCATTTAGAGGACGTTGTGGTTTCCGGATGTTTATTCCCAACAAACCAGACAAGTATGGTCTTAAACTTTTTGCCTTAGTAGATGTTACGTTTCCTTATGCATACAACTTAGAAATTTATGCCGGTGCTCAACCTCCTGGACCTTTTCAGGTCTCCAACAAAGTGAAAGACATTGTTCACAGAATGTTAAAGCCTCTCGAAGGTATGGGAAGCAATGTGACCATGGACAACTGGTTTACCAGTATACCGTTGTTGATGGAACTAGAAATGAAGAAGATTACTGCTATTGGGACACTGAAATCTAACAAACCTGACATTCCACTCAATTTCAAATCATCCAAAGGTAGACCCATCAACGACTCCTTATTTGGTTTCCAAAAGAAATGCACTTTAGTGTCTTACGTACCAAAACCAAAAAAAGTAGTTTTAGTGGCATCAACCATGCACAATGATGGTACGATTGATCTTTCTACCGCTGAGAAAAGAAAACCTGAAATAATTACTGAGTACAACAGGACAAAATGTGGTGTTGACGTTTTAGATAAAATGTGCAAGCATTTCAGTGTAGTACGAAATAGTAGACGTTGGCCCCTCACCCTATTTTTTGACATGGTAAATATCGCTGGCATCAATGGCATGATAATTGACACAATGGTCAATCACAATTACCAGCGCAAATCTCGACGCGACTACTTACGTTCGGTGGCTATAGAACTTATAAAGGCTCAAATGCGACAGAGACTTATGACTAAAAACTTACCTCGGACTATCAAGGAGAAGATCATGATGTTTTTAGAAGTAAAAGAGAGTAATTTAGTGCCTGAAGATGAAGTTATACCAAAAAAGAGAACCAAAACAGCCAGATGTTACGACTGCGGAAGAGCCAAAGATAGATCGACCAGAACATTTTGCCAGAAGTGTCAGAAGCCTGTGTGCAATGACCATAAATATCCTGTATGCCTTGGTTGTTATAATAAATATGTAACCGAGCCCAAAGAATAGTCGGATTATGTCAAAAATCTTAATTATAAGTATAAGTGCCATATTTCTTTAGTTTTATCAGTATGAAGCCAAATACTTTTTATTTTTTGTTTTAGTACAGAAGTGTCTATTTTTTTGTTGTTTTTTGATAAGTCAATAAAGGCTGATTATATATAAAAACTATAATATTTTATTTCTATTCCTATGTTACTAAAAAAATCACAATATTTTGGGCCACAATTGTGCCCCGCGCGTGGAATCGTGTCACTATTTTAAGCGCGTGTACTGGAGTGTTAAATAAGTAGAGTGCTACGTTGTTTCTGAAAGAGTACACGTAATTATAGTACATAGATACGTTTTTATAACTCATCCTGCAGCCGTACCATATGAAGCGATTATTAAGGCTCTTTACTACCAGAATGAACTAGTAACTTAAAGTGCCTAAACAATTAAAATTCTACGAATTAGTGGTAGTAAACGTGACTGTGCCCGGCTCTGCGTGAGGTACTTTACTCGATTCCCGGGTCGAGTCGTGTTATTGTAGTTTCAAGAAATTCTTAGGGACTGTGCTGTGTTTAGGCTCAGTTTTGGCAAAAGGCTCTAGGTTCGCTCTGTTACATGCGATTTAAGTTCTAACAAATCTGCCTAAATATTAATGTAATACATATTTGGTAGCTACAAACGAGGGAAAAGGCCGAGGGATAGTATTTGTTATATTATACTATAACATTTTTTTTAGATTGTAATGAGCAAAATCAATTAACTTACAACACAGTGACACATGATAACTTTTACAATGAACCTTCTACGAGTCGCAGTTGTAGACGATCCTCGATAGACTGAGTGTGTCATCAAATGAGGAGCCATTTTCGCCAGCAGTCTCCGAATATTTACCACATTCAGATGCAAGTCCTAGTTCCAGTCCGGTTCGAGATTTTAACGATCCCACGACGTCATCGTTGTTGAAAAATCTAACTACAGTTTAAACGAAGATCCTTTTTTATCGAGCCCATTTACAACCAAAAACCAGAACGATTATAATATTTTCATAGCTTCACCGACAGTTATTTTATCACCAAGTCCTCAAAAGTCAATACCTACCACTAATACTATATCCACTAGACCAGAAATAGATAACACCTCCTGCAAAAGACTAAACCAACATGAAAACATCAACCAATATTATAATTTAGAAGAGCCTTACATTGACGGTATTGCACCTTTGGCAAATGAATTTGTTCTAGAGTCGATATCCAATAACAACCACGAGGAAACAATTACTACTCCAATTCTTCCATGTAGCTCAACATCTGTCGCTTCAGCTAATGTAATTAACCTTCCAACGCCTCCCATCGCATCAGAAAATAATAAAGTCGTAGCTCCGGAAATAGAAGCAACTGTGTCTCAGCCATTATTAGTGACTGAGAGTAACCACAAGCCTAGAAAAAGACAAAGAAACATGGACATGTGGACAAAAGTTAAAATAAAGAAACTTCGAAATATAGGTGCACAGCCACAAAAATGTATGAGAGAGCCTTGCGCTGAAGCTGAAGTGTTTTGAAATTATTCAACATGAAGATAGACTGAACTTATTTGAATATTTTTGGGCTACAGGCTGTCATGAGACTCTAAAGATAATTAGGGATCTAAAGTTATTAAAGTTTAGAGAAAACGGGAAAGAAATCGAACTTTGATATATTAATTGCCAACTAAAAATAATGTAGGACACGTAACAAAAATCGAAGTTTGTAAAACAATGTTCTTAAACACGCTTGGTATTAAAGAAAGAACTTTTAACACGGTCATTGATAAGTATAATAATGGTAAACAAATAACAGACCTACGGGTTAAGCACGCAAACCGACCTCATAGAACAACAAATGCCACCGATTAGTGTTATACAACATATAAAATCATTCCCTTGTATTGAGTCTCACTATTTACGGCAAAAAGAACCCGACAATATTTATCACAGGACTTGAATATTTCAAAAATGCACCGGTTATATAAAGTGGGTTTCAGAAAACGAAAGCTTTCAAAATATAAAAGTTGCAGGTGAATACCAATATAGTCAAATATTTAATACGCAATTTAACCTTTCTTTTTTCAGACCAAAAATGATATTTGTAAAATATGCAGTGAATATGAAAATACAACTGAAGAGGCTAAACTCCAGGTCCAGCAGCAATACGAAAGTCATATTAAAAAAGAATATTGTTAGAGAAATAAAGAATAAAGAAAAAGATTCAGCAGACCCAAAATTAAAAACTGTAGCTGTATTTGATTTGGAGAAGGTACTAAGTCTGCCTCACTCAAATGTGGGTATTTTCTATTATAAAAGAAAATACCCAGCAAATAATTTTACTATATATAATTTAATTTCACGTCAGGGTTATTGTTTCTTACGGCATGCACAAATTGCAAATAGAGGTGCTAATGAAATCGCAAGTTGCTTGTATACATTTTTTGAAGCGGAAGCTTGTAGAGGCATAAAGTCTCTTTCGTTATACTGCGACAATTGTTCTGGCTAGAAAAGAAATAAGTAGATACGTTTTTTCGATGTATTTTTTTTGCGTACATTACACTTAGAAATTATTCACCGATTTTTTACAGACAGGACACACACAAAATGAAGGCGATTCAGTGCATGCCTGCATAGAAAAAAATATGAAAAATAAAACACTATATACACCCGGTCAATTATATGAAATAATAATGAATGCGAAGATTCAAAATAAATTTATTGTTAGTGAAATGTCACAGGCTAACTTCTACAATTTCAAATCTCAAGCAACATCCGTTGGAAACTGGATTCACGATACAAACGGAAATAAAGTCCTTTTCTCAAAAACAAAAGGAGTTAAAGCATGTCCTGAGACACCAAACAAGTTATTTTTTAAGTAAGATTTTGAAAATCATGTTTACTTGGTTTTAGACACTACGAATCGTACCTCATCACGTAGACATAAAACAAATATTAGCCCTCAGAGTTCAAATGAGCTCATGACCAAAAAATGCTTATGACAAATGTCTACCAATTTCGAACGCTTTATATAAGGATTTAATAAGTCTATGTTATACCAATGCTATACCATTGCATTATCAAAGGTTTTATAGAAATTTGGTAACGCAAAATGATACACCTAATTTAGAAATTTTTGATACATCGGATGAAGATGAATAGTTTTTAGTTCTAATAACTCCTACAATAATTGTATCAATCCTTATAATAGTAGAAAAGGTTTTATAAGGTTGACTTGATATTCAAGGAGAACAAAATTATTTGTTGTATAATAATAGTTGTGTGTTAATTATATAATGTAAATTTAATAGGCAATAATGTAAAATCAAAATTACGTGCCTGTTTACAACTATTTTGTTAAACTGTAGAATTTTTAGGATAGTTAGGTGCTCGAATTGTCTAAGGACGAATCATTGTTACTTTTATAGTTATTTTGTATAATTTGATTGATGATGTTTTTATAAGTGGTTTTTTTTTTTGTTTATTTTGTTATAAGACTGATTTTACACTTTAAAATTTTAATACTTTTAAAGTGGTTTTATTACTAAAATAATAGTGTGCCTTAAATACTTTGATTGTGGTTGTTGAAATGCAAATATAATTTGTTTTGAAATATTTTTATAACTACTTAAAAATATATATAATTGTCTACAAAATATAAATGAGCCTTTTTTTGCTTTACCAATATTATTAACTGATTTTGTACCAACTCCAGATATACAAAAAATAAATTCATTTCATAGACTAAATAGAGTGGTATTATTGTTTAATAAAGTTCACCTATATAATATATACATGAAATAAAACGGTAAGTTTAGGTTATCGAGTAAAAACAACAAATATTAAAAGGAGAAATAATCCAGTAAAAATATTTAGGCTCACCAAAACTATACTGCTAATAAATTCAATAGAGTTGTTAAAGGAATTACTTTCATTACAGTAAGTTAATTGTAGGAGAAGATGTACATAAACGCTAATATTTATAACGGAGCATTCAGAGTTAATTACGAATAGTAGCACAACATATTTATTTCCATATATTTAGAAAATGATAAAACTAAATAATAAAGGAACATATTCATATTGTGTTGTATTTTTTTATCTGTTAAGAAAACACACAACTGTAAACTTAACTACAAATGCAAAATTAAATCGTGTCACTATAAACGCACACTACAACATTTGTGTTTGTGTTCATCGCGTTTACGCATACCATCAAATTGTACACGTGTCGATACACTGATGGCGCTGTCTTTTTTTTTTGCGCCCGAAGCAAATATGGGCAACCCTCCGGAAAGCGGGGGAGGGAGGCGGTGAATGCTCATAGCATACCACGCAGCCGGCTGCGTTGTTATGTGGAGACTTTTACCCACTAAACACCGCCTTTTAGGAAATGGCTTAACGATCTGACTAGAGATCTCTAAGCCGTATACGAACGCGACCCTCCTTGGCAGAAAGGAGGGCGCAAGCGGCGAAAAGCCGCTTAGAAGAGTGCCTAACTAAGGCAGATTAATGGATGTGTTATGTAGGCTCGGCCTGAGCCGCCAGGAGGCAGTTCAGGTCAGCCGAAAGCTTGTTGGGGGGGGTCCGAGAGAGAGTTTCTCGGTCTGCGCACACTATAGCGAGTGTGGATAGGGGCTGCATAGGCAGCTGTCTCACGAATGAGATGATTTGGGTGAGACTCTGAGGCTTTGAAAAATCTCTCAGAGAGTGATTTAAGGAATTGCTGGATTGTTGGGAGCTCTAAGTCTCGATGTAGGTCGGTCTCTGGTATGGTATGGCGCTGTCTAAATGCGTAAGCAACGTAAGGCATGGACTATGTCGATGTTTTTTTATCGATAAACAAATCACCTAAAACCAATAAACAAATCAAATAAAAACTTATGCGGACTATCCGCATAAGTTTTTATTTGATTATAAGTAATACATAGATAAATAATACCAAAGTGTTATTTGAAATTCTTTTTTTTTAAGTATTTAGAAATTTTCTTCGGAAAAAAACTTAGAAACTATTGAAAATAAAGTTTATTATTTTGCTACAGGTTTATTTTACATTATGCAGGATAAAATTTTAAACATTTAACAAATCGAAATAGGTTTAGTTAACTTATTTTAAAAATCAGATTGTTTGAAAAGAAAAGTCCAATCAGTTTATCGTCTTAGATGGTGTTAACCAAGTTTTTGTTTTTATTATAAAGCTTCGTTATCACAAAACCGCTAATTAAAAATAGTTGTTGATTTTCAAGAGTTATTAAACGAACTGTCTGGAAAATATTTAATAAATTAGGAAAACAAAAAAGTTTTACACTTTATAATAGTTTAACAAAGTGAACTTTAAGCAGACAGCTGCTTAAAAATATAACGTGAAATCTACCTAGGGCTAAGTATTCCCCAGAAAGATGTTTTGCTTTAACTTTACATTACTATTCACATCAAAAGTTTTGAAATTGGTCTGCCTTCATCACATACGATAACAAAGTGGTACAGTACAATTTATGGCCGACTTGGCTACACAAAAAAAAGCGTTAACTGTTTTAAAACTTAGACTAGAGAGTAACCCTGATAAGAAATTATATTGTACATTAGTGATAGATGAAAAGAAAATAAAACAATTGATGGAGTACCATGCAAGTTCTAAAAGATATTTTGGTTATATACATGATGCCTTTGGCTACTATCATGGTATTCTGTCAATTGTTTAATTTTCATTTCATCCATTACCAAGGTACAATAAAAAAAAATTATCAGGGTTACTCTCCGCCCTCACTTTTAATGCCGTCAGCGCTTCTTGAGTAACCCTGGTCGGCGATCGATGGTAGTGTACTACTTAGTCAATGTACGGGTGCAGGCAAACATGTTCCAGAAGTTTTACGTACATAGCGACAGGCTTTTGGTGAGTAATAGTTAAGTGTTAGGGCATAGTATTTCTTGCAAATTTGTGAAGCCTGTTCATGCTATTGTTTTTATATCAAGGCATTTTTTCATTCAAATTTTCCAGTGTTGGTTCGTACTCGCAGTGGGAGTAGGACTAGTTCGGGCTATATAAGGATTTTTTTCGAATCGGATTTTCGAGATAACTTATGGAATTTTGCCGGAAGATCCAGCTTTCTTTTTTCGATGTAGACAATATTGTGCAATCACCACGATCACCCTATATATATATATATATATATATATATATATATATATATATATATATATATATATATATATATATATAAACTTAAAACGAGCTACATGTTTTGCCATTATACAAATACACAAAAATTATACTACATTAAGTTTACAATTACAAGAATAAGTATATAAATATATGAATTAAATTTGATAGGTTAGTGCTTTTGTAAATTTAATAAAATATTTTCAAGTAGAATAATATTGGTGTCAAAGGTAATAATAAAAATATTTAATCTAAATATAATTACAGCCCAACATTACCTCCCACAAGTTCAAGGTTGGTACTACAGTGTCAGATTCATGGTTTCTACAAGCTACAATCCAAGTGTGCCGCCTAAGAGGATCTCTTGGAAATCTATAAT